TATTGTCTTTATCCCTCCCTAAACTACCCCCCTGACTTTGTTTTATATTTAACTCTACAGATTTAATTGCCACTTGACAAGAGTGTCAAAAGTCCTAATAAAAAAATAAGCATTACAAAATAAAAAATGTACAACAGTAGACTCACCAAGCTGAGTTTTAAGAAAATCTTCAAATTTTTTATTAAACGATTTCGTTGTTGCGTTATTACACATCAAACTAGTTATTTTTAACAATTGTTTATAAGTTTCATTACATGTACTTTCATTCAAAACAATCATAATTAACAGCTAAATTCTTAAAACAATTTATGGCTACATCTAAAAGAGTATTAGCATCTTCTTAAGCTACTGATTCATTATGTATGATTCATTAGAATCTAAAGTTAATTGATGACCAACAATCTTCTTGTGGTCTCCGGATGTCCCATCACTATGTAATGTACATGAATTTGATTGTATAACAGCTTCAGCTACTTGAAAATTATGAATAATATACCCCTCCGCTAGCATATTAAAACAGGTTTGAGTAGAAGGAAAATCTTTAAAGACATAATGAAAAATATTTTTAGAAACAATATCAATAACATTAGAAATATTCACAGCAGAAACTTTACGATTTGTCCTCTGAGCTTAACACAAGTTTTTCGCTTAGTTGTTGTGACCCGTAACAGTAAGCAATTTTTATAACAACTACGCGACTTCTGCACTTGAGCTATCCATGGTGTGACTTTACAAACAATCCTCTGGTCCAGAGATAGAGACAGGTACCCACGACAAGTCAAGCAGCGGCACCAGCAGTGGTGCAAGACGAAACGAGCACACTAGGCAAGCCTAGATTGACACGACGGATGCTTACTTGACCGGTCAGACTACGGATAACTAAAAGTCGATAGACCCCAGTCTAATCTAATAAAGCCACGGTGCAGAGTTAACATGCGAGGACCATGGATAGTGAACTGTTCATAGGTCGGGTCCACCTTGCTGAGAAAAACGTCACGCTTATACAAGATAGGCCTCAGGTAGAGGTTCGTACACACTAGCAATGTCTAGTATGGATTGTACGGATAAGCCACACGTTACAAAAAATACATTTACGTGTGTCACCAGAATAAACATTTTGTAAAGTTTTTAAGCTAAAATCTTTATTCTTAATGTAAGCCCTGCTAGGGGTGGGGATAACTAATCTATCTACCCTTCTAGGCTTCTCTAACTAATCTGGTCAGTGCAACCTTGGTGAAACCCACGGTGGTTAAATCTTAACCTTAGTCTACATAAAAACTCTTCCACGCTTTGATCTTGCAGTCGCACCGACTTCCAGGTTGGCAAATTCGAACCAAATGGTTCTCAGGTGATGGTCTTTGATCTCGAGGTGGCGAAGAACACCCGTTGCACCATTGAACAAGCCATCTTGCGTATCAATATTAGATGTCACCATATACTTAACACCCACCGTGAAGTAATTTGTTGTCGGTAGAGCTGCCATATCTTTTACAGGCTTCGGCTTCTTGACTCTTTTGCCTTTGTCCTTTCCAGTAATGTGAAACTCGGCCTTTGCCTTAATTGCTGATGTTTCTTTGGGATCCTTGCCCGTCGGATACCTTTATAGATTCAGCTGAACCAGCTTCACCGCAATAGTGGCGAGTCACCGTCTGATAGATGGCTTCAATCAGCTTGCTTTTGCCTACACCTGCGCCGCCGCTGATAAAGTGATAGAAGGGAAGATTGCCATTTTTGAGACAACTTAACAAATGCTGGTGATAGTTATGTTGATGAGTGTTGAGCAAATCGATAAGCTTGTTGTAATCATCGTTGGAGAGCATTCCTGGCACTTTGTAGCGTTTGACTTCCTCGCCTACTGCGACGTCTTGTCCAAGCTCGTTTAGCAAATCAGGAACAATAACTGTGTCATCATAGTCGTAATAATTCACATCAGGCTTGATGGCTTGGCCATTTTCATTGAGAATAGTTATTCGGCATTCGCATTTTCTTCTTGATCGCGCTCCGCTTGAATGTCGATGTAAATCTGGTTCAAGTCTTCACCGATCTTGTTGTAATTTTTGTAGTTGGCATCGATGACAATTTTTTTCTCGACGAAGATTGCCTCACAGTTTCCCTCCTCGATTTCTTTGACTTCATCACGCCATGGCGAATAGAGCATGACCATTTCTCAGAAGTAATTGGCGGGATTGTTTTCAACCCTTTTTTTTTGTTGTTCTAAAAGACATGCTGCCCTATGATTGCCCATTCATTAGACTGTGAGATGGCATCTCTGTTCCGTGCTACTCTTTGATTCTAATACTGCTATGTCACTTATATAAATGTAATAATTAGTGTTTAGATTTTTTACATTCACTGTTATGCCTTTATTAACCACTCTCTAAGTGTTGCATGATGTGGGGTACAGGGTTGACAATTTCAGTTGATCAACAGTCACTATATGATTTCTTGGGTATTTTTTGCACTTTAGAATATTAACTTAATGATAATAAATACTTGATGATAAAACCGGTTTGACTATCATATGGCTTTAAAATTGCTTTTGTTCACAAAAATCTTGCTTCCAGTCAGGTTGTAGAGCAGTGGGGTTTTTTTTCAGCATTCCTTTGAGCAGCTGTAGCCACTGGGTGTAGGACAAAATGCTGATAGGAGGATAGGCTGACTGGACATAAAGCCGACAAGTTTTCTATAACAATAAACTCCATTTTATAAGTTCTAGTGTTGCTCTGTTGTTGCACACAACAATAACTGTTGTTAGCCCGTCTTCTTTCTGTATGTTTCTTTCATTCTTGAGAGGTTCTCCAAATATTATTGCCTTCATACTTCATATTATCAGCTTCAACTCTTCCTTTGTTCCTGAATTTTATTACAAGCAAACAAAAGGTTCCATAGAGTTCTTTTCTTACAATTACCTTCCACCAGTTACGACTGCTCATATGTGTCGTGCTATGCGAGAGGTTTGAGTCACTTGATCGATGCTATGAAATACCACTACCAGATTGAGGTTACAACCTTAAGCAACCATTAGGCTATTTCACATCCAGATGACTAGATGAGATTCATAGATGAACTCAATAATTCCTTCTCCTTTATTCTGGTACTAGAATTGCTTATATTCTTCATCTACAATCACAACTCATGAATCAATCTCCCAACTTGAGTCACACTGGTCAGCATACTTCCTTTCACCATGATGATCAAGATAAGACTAACTCACACACAAACTCCTAGCAGCCAAGTTCCTACCCAAAACTGTCACTATCTTCAAAACTGCATCATACTTCTAATGCGTTCAATATACCCTTCACACCAACATTTACTCTACCTGAAACATGCATCACAACACCACACCTCAACTATATTTTGGGTCCTTGGAAAACCATTAAGATTTGCATGCACAGACCAAACTCATGTGGAAAGGGGTGGAACCCACACCACTCTTCTATTTAACAATCTCACTTGACCTCATACAAAAGTCTTATCAAACCATCTTACCAGTGCCATTGTGTTTAATGGCATGTTATCTATTTTATTAAAAGCTTCTAAATCTCTGCACTTGGGAGAATTGCTGATTTTCTACACCAGCAAATCCTATCCATAAAGAACTAACAAACCCAATTTAGGTAGCTTTTGCTAAATATTTTGGCTAAAATGAAAAAAAGCACCCTTTAATTGTTGGGAATTCTGTATGTGCATTAATTGCAGCTTTTTCAGGCAGTTACAATAAACTGTGGAGCCATATTAACCTGTATCCAGATTGCTCTTGCATACATTGCCTCTGATTTTCATGACATCAAAATGTACACAGGCTGTAATACTGCAGTGATCGTAACACTTAATTTGACAATATTTAGCAGGTTCATTATAAATAGAGGTTCATTATAAATAGACATACTCTTGGTACATTCACATTTCCCATACACCTAGCAAATATTCACAAATATCTCACTTAAAAACCTGACTAAAAAAAGACTTGTTTAGCCCTGTCTTTTGACTTAATGACACAGTTCTCTCCTCCAATTTACTGAGAACATTTCCTTGACTAAATGTGCTTGTAAGCACAAAAAGTACAGTTGTTATTTTTTTAAATCTAAGAATTGTCTTCAAGTTAAAAATTTTATAAAATATTTGAAGAAGAAAATATTTATTAAGATAGTTTTTCTTATTAATCAAATATTTTCGCAATGTTTTTCCATTGCACTGTAAAATAATGGTACATTTGATTTAAGGTTAGAAGGCCTGGGTTACTTTGTTGTTCATTTGTAACTACTTTGATTAAAAAGAAATGCATTATTTAATATTAAAATTACTGATATGTGAATGTTGTACATTTGTTTTCCATCTAAAATGTAATCAGCTCATTATTACATGTTTTATTTTTTATCAATGTATTTTTACAAATTTGTGTTCATGTTATATTCTTTTTCTTAAACAACCCATGATTCTGTTTGAACATAATACCACTAATTTTTGTTATGCAAATAAAAAATTAAATATACATACTACCTAATTTTTGTTTTATCTCTATATTCTTAGATTATATAAATTAGTTTAAGTTGTGTGCATTTTTAATATACAGTTGTTGGGTTCATATATGCTTGCTTAGCAAGTAATCTTGCATATAATTGGGTACAAATTTCGGTCCTACATCTGTTAACCAAATGTAGAAAAACAATAAATTAATAATTTAAATATGGCAATTTACCTAGAAATTGTTTGATAGACAACATTTGAAACTTTTCAAAATTCCAAACCAGCATTGAGTAACCAAAGAAATTAAAGTAATATTTCCCAAACCTAATTTATAGCTACTAAGTGTAAGTCTAGCTGTATGTTTTTGATGATATTTTTTAATTACTTTTAGTAATATTTGAAATTCCTTATTTCCACCTTTTCTATGGATGTGTTGCATTTCTGTAGACACCATATGCATTTTTGCATATTGTGTTACTGAAATGTCTTATCATGCACAATATTTGTTTAATAAGCTATTAAAAAATATGAACCAAGCATTGTTATTTTGTATGATGATTTTTTTTTTAATGTAAAAAACAAATATGAACATGAACCAATGTTGCTATGAGGTTTTGTTTGGAATCTTAGACTAAAATGTACAAAAAAATCAGGTCTCAGTATTGTCAATATATTTCTGAAAAGCTTTATCAGTCGTATATAAATCTAATCTAGGCAACCTCATTCAATACATTTGTCTGGAAATTAAGCTTTAAAAAAAAGCTAACCATATACAAGCAAAAAAAGAAAATAACATTTCTATGATACTTAAGATGAACCATACATTAATCATTAATACATGGTATATTTAAAAAAAAAACATGACACCACCACATTTGCATTGAGTGCAAAAAAAAAGTGAAAGTAATAGTCAAACAAGAACACATTCCCTTCAAATATGTTACAATACAAAGCCCAAATGTTTTATTTACACCTTTTACTTTTAGAAATAACATGCCAATAAATCTACCACTCTTTAATAAATGGTGAAAATAAAAACTTCACACAAATTAAAACATGAAAAACTCAAAGACCTTTGTATTTTCTGTCTGAAATCATTTAATCATATAAAAAGAAATATCTGCACCATCTTAAAAAAATATCCATCCTCATCTTCAAACCAATACAACACGCTTGTTTTATTCCTCTCTCTCATCACAATTTAAATAAGTACACAAAACTACATAGTATTTACTTGTAAAATTTCCAAGACCCATTTTTAACTAACCTTTGAGAAGGATTAGAGCAATGTACATAAATTTAGAAGGAACAGAGAAGTACCAGCAAATTTTCTATACAAGACAAAAGCATGAGTATTCTGAAAAGAATAAATAAAATTTTAACGATAAAAAAATAATTTCTGAAAGCTGTGGAAATATTTGGATGCTAAGTTGCCGATTTCTCACTAGATCTAAATCTAATTAGTTTAAGTCAATGGAGTAAAGTAGCCATTTAATTAAAAAATGCCAATTAATCACTCAACAACCAAAGTAGAATCATTGGTGCTGACAGATTCGTCACCCAGTAGCATATCATCAATATCACAGTTATTGTCTATTGCACTGCTGTTATGTGATGACAACACAGAATTCACACAAATGCCATCCTCTCCCGTGTCCATCTCTTGTCCATCTTTTGACAAGTCATCCCTTTGCTTCTCCCCTGGTTGAACAATGGTGCCATCCAGATGTACTCTCAGTGGGGTTAAAGGTGAAGGAAGATTGCTGTTGGTTCCTGAAAATTCAGCATCTGGATCTACTTTCACTTTACGTGGCCGTATAGTGAGAGGGGTCTTTTGTTTAGTTTGCTCAATTTGTGTGACAAAGTTTTCTTTGAACTCATTCATATCCGCTAGAAGCTGCAGAGCCTCTGCCATAACTTTCTCCTGTCGCTGACGGAGTTCCCCGAGTTCCCTCAGGTTCTCATGCATCAGTTGCAGACCTCTGCACAGGTGCTCGTTGCCTGACCCAGGTGGCACAGCCTCACCCGACATGTAGCGGTCGAAGTCTGTACTGCTGATGTTAAGAGATTCTGCATTGATGCCCTCCACAAAAGACACTGCACAGCACTGAAAAATTTAAGAAGTTGAAAAAATTAGGTTAAGGATTTTAAATAAAGAAATTAGCATTTTGTAAATCTACACTCATTACATTTTTACAATCTTACACTTGACTTCAATCCTAAGTTTAAAGATATACTTAGACTATCATAAAAAAAAGTTACATGTTTAAAATAACTCATCTCAAAATCATGAATTTCTCATTAAATTTGAAGTACAGTATATTTAACACCAGCAAGGACTCTTAAACAGTAAGTCATGTTCTCAAATCTTAGAATTAAAAACAAAACAAGGCAACAAAACTTATATTTGTAAACCATTTTTAAAGAACAGATTCTAACAATCTGCATAGCGAAAAATAACATATGATCCAAACTTAATTAAGTTAAGCTCGCTTTCAGAACAGAAAACATATTTGCCATCAGAAGTGAAATTATTTGTTTAGCTGGTCTCAACATATATAGATTGCGTTGTCAGCACCATGCCCCACTGTTTTTGCTTTCTCTGATTTGAGTCAGATCCCCATCAGAGATTAGTGAACTCAAGAAAAATCCTACGGACTCATGACATTTGGGTTAGTAGATCTGATAAGAGTTGAAATCTGAGTAAGAAGCACTTATACTGCAATGTCAGGTTAGTGTTTAGGATTCACCACAGCCTAATGTGACTAAGGAATAAATTGACAACTCTACTTCGTGTTTCTTTCATCACAGAAAATTAAGTATTTTGCTTACCAAATTTGTGAAATAATATCCCTCCTCCCCACTCATAAGCCGTGTTGGGTTTGCAAAGCGTGTGATGTACTGGATGTTTGACTGCAGTAGGGGAGGGTTGGCCTTCAACACTATGTAGATCAAAGCTGGTAGAAACTCATCAGCACTTGCAGGGCCTTGCTTGGACTGGCGCAGCACCTCAAAGATATGCTTGCTGCAGCTTACAATGCACTGGAGCTTGTCTTGGGTAGCTCGTTTTGAATCAAGTTCTATGATGTCTGTAAGTGTAATGCAGAAAATGTGATCTCAAGAAACCATACGTTTATAGGATTTAAAAACTACCAATATCTTTGCTTATTAACTTATATCAGTCTTTTAAACTCATATTAACATTAAATATTAGGTTGCCAGGTTTATAAAAAATAAATATTGCCTATAACTTTTAAAACTATTTAATAAAGTTGGAGTAACGATTTTGGTATGTTAAATTTAACACATTTTACATATCAGGTAACCTTCATAGCAATCAAGGTGGCTTTGGGACATCTAGTATTCTTAGGCTATCACTTTCAACTACTACATTCATATAATTCATTAGTTAATACATAATCTTGTAAGTGTGAGCTTTTATACTGTTAAAAAAAAAACAAGGAAATTCAGCAGCAGAGACCAAGCACTAAGCAAATAAAATGGTTTGATGGTATTTTAAAACGGCACCTGTTATTGCACTGTCCAGTTCATATCTAATAGCCGGGTCATTTTCATTGATGAGTGTGTCCAACTGGGCTGCTGTTATCCAGTGGAGGCTCCTAATCCGGTTCTGGATGGCTAAGTCTCTCTCCTCATCATTGGTAGTGTGGTGGCAGAAAATTGTGGGGTATAACCTGGTCAAAATGTAACGCTCAGTGAAGTCCATTACCTTGTCTATCACATCAGGGGAAAAGCCTGAAAAAATCCACAATATTTACGTTAGGCAGAATGCTTTTTACATCTATTGAAATTAATATACCAAAGTCATTTACAAAAGGTAATATTGTGCTGTGCCGTTAAACTAACAAATGGGGGTAGGGAATTATAAAGAATTACATCGGTTGGGGAAACCCAAGTATTCAGTTGATTTATCTAAAGGATGATTTTTTTTTTATATAAGTGAATCATACAATGATATGGTAATCAAGAACAGAGCCAACTTATTTACACAAAATACAATACGATGAACTCTTATAAAAGGTGTGGATGAAAAGTAACTGATATACTAGATGGAAAAGCCAATTTGTAGTTAAAGGGTGGATTGGATGTAATGTTACATAATAAAACTCTATACAACAGAATGTCAATGGGAAAAGTGATGCAGTAACTAGGTCAGCTTGAACCAACCAATGAGAATGTGGGCATTGGTTAGGGTTAGAAAACATGTGATTAGACTCACTGAAATTAGAGGATAAGCTTAGTTTAGGGAATAATTATTAGTAATAATTTCTAATCTTGAAGCTGAATAGCTAATGTGTTATTATTTTCATTGTTTATGAAGTGTGTAATTGTAAAGAATAAACATTGTAATTTAATTGTACTATTTAAACAAGACTCCATTTATTTCATTAGTAGCTCCATTTAATAAGTGTCAAATGCCAAGGTTAATTTAAAGCAAAAGAAGATCCCCATACGATTATATATTACTAAGGGATTTCTCACAGCATCTTGGCAACATGAGAATTATTCATCATAAGTATCATCACACTTACCTTTGAACACTGGTAGGCAATTTAACTTTTCCGACAAGCTTGTATAGAAGTCTTGCACCATTTCTGACAAATCATCTACAGACACATCCTGATGATGCTGCACCCGTTCAATAAACCCACGCACCTAAAATATTTTTAAAACTTTATAAATACAATTTACAACCTGCCTGTTTTTAATGTAGCTAACGCAAAATATCAAACAAAAACCTGTGGCAAATTTTAAAGCAACAGCCAGTAAATGGGGATGGATTGAACACACGTTAAGAAGAGAAAAAGAAAATATTGCAAAACATGCTATGGACTGGAATCCCCAGGGAAAAAGGAAAGTGGGCAGGCCAAAGAAAACATGGAAAAGGACGGTTGAAGAAAAGGGGAAAACAGGTGGGTTCACATGGGCACAGATTAAGGGAGCAGCCCAAAACCGAGTCCGCTGGAAATGTCTAGTTGCAGCCCTTTGCTCCCCAGGGGCCACAAAGGAATGATGAACACACTGTGACCACACTATCCCTTCATATGCATTGGTATCAGAAATGGGTGAACTCAACTTCATTTTTCCCATGGGCCATTAGGTTCGAAAGGGTAATTTTTCCACTGTTTCTTTAGTTAAACAATCTTATTTTATTACACAAGTAACCCTCTATTGTACAACTGCACAAACATTCAAAACCAGACCTTTTTTGCAGCAAGTAAAGTATAATTGATCTACTTTGATGCCTGCCCAATATTTGAAAAGATAAAGCTTAGCCATACAGATGGGAAACACTAGACCCCACAATCCCAAAAACACAAGACAGTGACTATCCTATTTAAAAAAATATGCAAGCCTAACCAGTTTAGAGATTTCCAATGCTGCTGGCTTTCTCTTCATAGATTTCAAAAACTCAGCAAATTCACCACCAATTTTCTGGCTTTCAGCACTGATGCGCCTCGGCTCTTTCACAAGCGGTTGATTTTCTGTAGGGCATAAGTCACAACGTAGAGTTTTTTATAAGATGTTTTAAAAGTGGTTGATTTTCTTTAGGGCATAAGTCACAACGTAGAGTTTTTTATAAGATGTTTTAAAAGTGGTTGATTTTCTGTGGGGTACCAGACTTATTTAAAAATAAGATTGAAAGTTAGTAAAACAGATCTGATTAAAAACCCTACCTTTATTTGGAGTTTTTCTTAAAAAAGATTTAAATGTGTTGCTTCGCTTATTGACCTGCTGAGTTTTCTTCTCTTCAAATCGAGAAAATGATGCCCTGACATCAGCTAGACCAGGAACCCTGAGTGAATATACAATGTAGAAATTTTAGCCCTAAATTGTTATCTAAATATCTACATGCATTTTACATTTGCTTTCTTTCAATGCATTTAATTTTAAAGTGGGTAGGCCTATAGTTCCTACAACCATAAAAATAAATAGGAATTTTAAAAAGTATATCAGGGCTAAAAGTAGCAATGCTTAGCTGCATAATAATTAATTAACCCAAGACTCAATCTAAACATAAAAATAATTAAAGGTAAATACAACAGATGTAATAAAGGAAGACAATCTAAAAAAAAATGCTTATATGATGATGACATAATTTACTTTATCGCAATGACAATTAAAAGCCAAATAATATTTTATTTTTTAGTTTGTTAATAAAATTAAAAGCATGATAAATACAATTTAATATATCTTCTAAAGACTATACACTCCTTAGCTCTTTTTCTCTGTACTAACATGCATAACGAAATAGTTTGTTTTATATATGTGTATGTGTAAAAACTTACTTTTTAATGATGGTAGATTGTGCAGCTTCTTTAGCAGCATCGTGCTGCATCTGTGCCTGCCGGGCTGTCTGATAGACTTCCCTGTAGCACTTACTACAGAAACCCTGCCATGCCGGATTACCATAAAACCCACATCCATTTTTACAGAGCAGGTCTGTTTCATCCAAGTGGAATGTTTTCTTTTTGTTCTGTCCATTTGTTGCCAGCATGATGCCAAGTTGAACAGACTTTTTTTTTACCCGCTACACCAAAATTATTTAGATAATTTTCTGCGATTCTACTTTAAGCATATTTTCTGCATCTCAGTTTTGCAGAGAGTGTTTAAATTCAGCTACTTAAAAAAGACTGCATTTTATTTGGTGTTGGATTAGACCTGCAAATAAAATAAAAAAGTAGTAAAAAAAAGCAGCATAAAATAAAAGAATAATGCACAACAAGGAAGTAAAGCACAACACCTATAAATAAGTTGCCTAATTTAACATAAATAACCCTGTGTCTATAGTTCAAGGAAGGAGAAGACTGCTACATTATTCTAAAACAAAACAAGCACACTTAATTGCATAACTACATAAACTTAGTTTAACAATGTAATTAACATCTCTTGGAGATAAGAGAATAATTTAAATTAAAGAAATACTTTTGAATAATCTCCAGCAAAAGATAACACAATCTAAATTAGGTTTTAAAATGGCCAAGTCTTAATTTTCTTTTTCAAATTGCCCATCAGCTAAACTACATTTAAACAATTTAAAGCAAAAGAAAACACACAAAATTTGAAGGTAGCATTTTATTTCATAGCCCAAGTGGCACTAATATTGCACCAGGGGCTAAAGTTGTGTGAGCCATTTTCAATTAATAAGTAATATCAACACTAAAGAGCATTTTACATGGGTTGAGTAATTCAAAGTGTTGATACTAGTTCTCAATAGGGCAAACTGAGTAACATTGAAGGATATATCATATATTGCCATGTAGGCGCCAGACAGGGAATAAGAAATGTGGAGGAGGTTATAGAAATTGAAGCAAAGGCTGCAACCCCTACTGAAGAAACCTGCACAGAAGCAAGTGAGTTGCAACTCTTTACTTCATATGGGCCTCACAAGATTAAGTAAGGCAGGGTGGAATTAAATATACCCTTTCAATCAAGCGGTCAATGGGGCAGGTGAAATAGAGTTCACCTGTTTCTGTAACCTCTGCATACCGTGCGGCGTCAATTCGGCCAATGACGAAACGGCCCCGTCAAAGCGACCCCGACAAAACGACCCCGTCAAAACGACCCCGTCAAATCGGCGTCAAAAGGGCCAGCGACATATGGACCCCGTCATATAGGCTCCCGACAAATAGGCTACCGTCATTTAGGCTACCGACAAATAGGCTCCCGTTATATAGCCTCCCGACAAAAGGGCTCCAGTCAATAAGGCTCCTGACAAATAGGCTCCTGTCATTTTGGCTCCCGACATATAGTCTCCCGTCATTTAGTTTTTTCCACAAAACGGCCCCCGTCATTACGACTACCGACAAATAGGCTCCCGCCATTTAGTTTCTCCACAAAACGGCCCCCGTCATTACGACTCCCGACAAATAGGCTCCTGTCAATTTGGCTCCAGACAAAAGGACCACTGACACAGTGGCGTAGCTACCGTAAAGCTAGCGTAAGCAAGGCATGGGGGCCCAAGGCACATAGGGGCCCTTTTCCCTCATAAAAAATTAAAACTTTTACAATGGAATTTTAATATTTGTTACATATAAATAATTTTAAAAAAAGAAAAAGGTTAAAAGTTCCAAAAAGCCCCCCCCCCCCCACCGTTTCGGCAGTGGGATTCAGTGTTTGTGGGTCAAACAGAGCCCAATCGTTATAATAACACTACAGGCTATATCACTTTGTCGTGCAAGACATTGAGAGAATCAGCCTATAAATAAACTTTTTAGCAGTAGTAGGCAAGCATAATAATATAGTATAAATACATAATCAGGACATATAAAATACAAAATGTTGCCTTCAGAATATTTATATATTAAAAACTATCCATCGTAAGTAGAAGTTGATCTCTTCGTTTAACTCCTCTGTAGCCTAACGCAGAGGCGTAGCGAAGGCGAGGCGGGGGGTACGGACCGCAACGGGTGACACCATTTAGGTGGGGGGGGGGTGACACCAAAGGCAAAAAATTGTAAAATTTATAGAATGAAATGCCGTTTTCCAGATCCATTAGTTAAAGTTAAATAGTCTTCTAAGTACAAATCGAAAATTATATCAAGAGGGGGGGGGGGGGTGTGACACCACGACGTAAACGTAAACTATAAAGAAAACAATGCTACATCCAACTGTATTATAAACAGACTGTAGATAAACATCGTTACTATTAAGTCAGCAGTGATTAAAGCTTAAACACGTACGTGTACCAGTATGTGGCCTATATATAAATTTTAGGCCTATGTAGGCCGACACACACACACACACATATATATATATATATATATATATATATATATATATATATATATATATATATATATATATATATATATATATATGCTTTGTTTCCTGGGAGGGGGTGACAATACGAAGAGCGCACCGGGTAAGACCCGACCTAGCGACGCCACTGGCCTAACGGCTGACGAAGGGGCCCACTGATAATTTTTGCATAGGGGCCCAAAAATCCTAGCTACGCCACTGCACTGACAATACCGTTTCTGTAGAGACTAAGTCTCCCGGCAAAGCGGTCTCATTGAATATGACACCTGCCATTGGGACCCCTTCATCAATATTCTTTAGAGTTAGCTTATCCAACACTCTTATGTAATACAACGTATGTATCTCCTGTTCAGCAGGCCTTATTTTTATATTAGTTTATCGATTATAAAAGATAGTATGTTTTAATTTAAGGGTCATCTATCTATGACATCCATAATTAAGTCGGTTATATGCTGTTCCAACTCATTGTGTGGGGAGAAGGGTCCACGCTGTACCTTCCTAACTGCAATATGCTTGTACAGGGGCGTAGCGAGGGGGGGGGGGGGCGGGGGGGGGGGGGTGCGGACCGCACCGGGTGAAATCATTTAGGGGGTGACACCAAGGCAAAAAATAGCAAAATATATAGAGAAAAAGTTGAGGGGGTGGGGGTGCAAATCGAAAGTTTGGGGGGGGGGGTGCAAATCGAAAACTTGAAAGTTTGTCCCCGGGAAGGGTCGCAACGCCTCTGGGGGGGGGGTGACACCATTAAGTGCCGCACCGTGTGACACCCGACCTCGCTACGCCAGTGTGCTTGTAGGTTATCAAAACAAAATGCTGTTATCATGTTAACATCATGTATATCATACATTTACACTTCTGTGCTCGCTTTTAAGCAACAGATCTTTTCTGTTGTAAATTAAACATTATCAAAACTTTAGAATTGGTGGAATTTAGCTGTTATGGGCTCGATTTGTTTGTGAATTAATGTTGGTTCATGTAAAAATAATTTCATTCGGGCATTAAAAAGAGGTTATGGTGGTATTGGAGGTAGGACACAATGGTTACTTTTATGCCAAGAGTGGTCATATCATTCATTTTTCTGGAGCCAATATGTCGGGAGTCATTTTGTCAAAAGCCAATATGTCGTGAGCCCATTTGCCGGGAGCCCATTTGTCTTGAGCCCTTATGTCGGGAGCCAATATGTCGGGAGCCGCTTTGTCGGGAGCCAATATGTCCTGAGCCTATTTGTCAGGGGTTAATATGTCGGGAGTCCATTTGTCGGGAGCCTAAATATCGGGAGCCCATTTGTCGGGAGCCTATATGTCGCAAGTCAATATGACGGGAGCCCATTTGACGGGAGCCAATACGTCGGGGCCCTTTTGACGGGGCTATTTTGACGGGGTCTGTTTGTCGGGAGTCGATTTGACGGGGTCGTATTAACGGGGCCGTTTTGACGGGGCCGATTTGTCCCGGGCCGTTTTGACAGGGCACCCTGCATACAATCTGATCGGGATAGTGTGTTCAGGACTAAACCTATTCTTTCAATGTAAGAAAATATTAAGCAGATTACACCAGTATAGGAGCAGCAATATAGACAGTGTCACGCTGATGAGAAAATGTGATAGGGTGTTCAATGGAGCAACGATGTTTATAATTGGCGTGTTTAAAACCTAAATCTAGAAAAGATATAGATCTATTAAAAAAAAGACACCTATGCAAACAACTCAACTATGGAGATAGAACATTAAACTTAATATGACTTAGTTAAATACACTTCTCGCAAAAAGGATTGCTTAGATAGGTTCCGATCTCGTAACTGGTCTAATAGCTAATTTCAATTCCTTTAAATTAAGTCAGATTTTAGTTAATAAAATAATGATAATATTAGCCTAATATTACACACACAGGCCTGCCCTGCACTAAACATTTCTAGTCAGTACACTTTCCTGACTTGAGTACAGTGGCGTGATTGTGAAGTGTACAAGTTAGTACAACCAACTCTACACCCTACAGTATGAAGTAAGAAAAAGTACACACTCAGTCTCAGTGACAGTCCGCACACCCTTTCTAAAACTCTAGATCTAGAATCTATCTTAAGCTAGCTTTAGATCTAGAATCTCAAGACTTCAAATCTAAGTTTAATTTACACTTTACACAATTTGAATTTACTGAATTGAGTTTTGTTCTTGGGTGATTCAGTCAGATAATCTGTACTAAAAAGACTTAAGTTTTATCTTAAGACTTAGCCATTACTGGCATTACAAGGGCATTAGGCCTAACTGTGTGTGTAACTGAGAAGATCTAAGACATCTAAGATTTCTAGATCTAGATCTCTAAAGTCTAAACTTCTAAATTGAAGTAAATTCTAAACTGAAACTCTACTCTACTGCATCTACTATAATAAAGAATAAAGAAGGAACCATTAATTATTGTATTATGTGTATTGTATATCTGGAAGGAAAAAATTGTAATAATATAGGCCTAGATCTAGAATATAGAAATAGAAATCTAATAAATAATTTAAATATTCCTTGCTTACTTCCACTATCGCAAGGGGTGAGTTGACATAAGTCATCAGCAGTAGTCTCATGATCAATATCAACAAACCAAATAGTATGCCAGATTTCTTTAAGTTAGAAATGGTAATCAATACATTATTTTATTTCTTTATTAATTACTTGGCGTTATATTACACTCTCTTTATATTCTATTATAGTAAGAATAAATTAAAATATTTGAATAAAGTTTATTTATTTAATATTTAGAAAGGTAGATCTTTTTATTTGGTGTTTTTAAAATAAACTCTTTATTGGCAATACAAATTCTATTAATAGACACAGGAAGATATTTAGATATCTCCTTCATTTAATCTACGGAATACCGGACAAAATGCCTGTTTTTAAAAGTAATAAAACTTTGTACGAGATGTGGATCGCAACAAAGAAACTTTCTGACACTTTCCAAATAAAGAGTGTTCTAAGATAGTGATGTATTCTATCACCTAGCCTATACTATGGTTATTGTATATTGATTGGTTGGTGCACAATTGTTGATAGCCAAAGACAAGGCACACACCTACTACCTAGCCTACAATACTGTAACAATGGACATACCCACCCTAGAGAACAGACTATACTGATGATCAGAGTTTGCTAGCTAGCAGTCACCAGGACATTGAACCAGAGGCGTAGCGAGGGGGGGGGCGTGGGGTGCGGACCGGACCGCACTGGTTGACATCATTTAGAGGGGTGACACCAAGGCAAAAAGTAGCAAAATATTTAGAGAAAAATGATAATTCCATTTAATTAAGTGATTAATTCGAGTGTTAAATAGTCTTTAAAGAGGTGCAAATCGAAAGTTTGAGGGGGGGGGGGGGGTGCAACTCGAAAGTTTGAGGGGGGTGCAAATCGAAAATTGAAGGTTTGTGGCTACGCCTCTGGGGGCTGACACCATTAAGTGTCACACCGGGTGACACCCGACCTCGCTACGCCACTGCATTGAACAGAATGCAAATAGATTGGCAGAACATGCTGCAGCGATAGTCCTAACTATTAAAACCGGGAAAACTGGTCTTAAAAGTTAAAATTTAATGCAAAAGTAAAGCACCCACTGCTCATAAGATAAACTATCACCAACACCGGAAGCGTTCATTTGGCATGTCTTAGTGAAGTCATAAATGGTGGAGATTGTCATAAAGACGTAAATAATAGAACAGGGAAAGCTAGCCAATCCTTTGGTACACCATGGAATATATAAAAACCAGGAAAGATATAAGCCTCTACCAAAATGTCGATATATTTAAAAACATAATGTGCTTAGTCTCCCTTTCTATGGCTCCTATGTTAGAAACCCACCAAAGTGAAAAGGTGGACTGGAACTAAATATTTGAGAATCTTCTAATCCAGGGGTCTCCAAACTTTTCAGCCCGAGGGCCGGATTAACTACCAAATATACGTTCGGGGGCCAGAATTTCTTCCAGGCATCTCCTCGGGGTGGCGAACCCCCCCCCCCCCCCCCCCCCACGGAATTATATATATATATATATATATATATATATATATATATATATATATATATATATATATATATATATATATATATATATATATATATGCAAATTTCAAGTGCCCCCCACCCGAGAGAAAAAGTCTGAAAAAAGAAACACTGTCGGGGACCGACAACACACTCGAGGTCCAAGATTGTTCTTCCCGTAGGCATACTTCATTCTTGATAAAGTTTGTATGTTGATCCAAAATTTGAAAGGTACTTTGAGGCAAAAGGATGAAGGTACGGGTCGCTTTTCATTGTGTTAAATGTGATTTTTAAAAATTGTATGCAACACTGCTTTTGATTTTCTGCCCCAAAGGATCGGCTACTTTGAATGATTGGATAAGTTTAAGGCTCAATGCGTATTTTTTCTTTAACACATTATTTAATATTGTTTTAATGAATTCAATGAAGATGTAACAAACGACTATTGAACATATTATTTAAAGTGATCACAATATATGAATAACACATCCATCTATCAAAGTTGTTGTGTTTTTTGTTTACGTGATGTTTCGCTGTGTGGTATTTTAGTTGCGATTTTGTTATGTTGTATTTTAATGTTTTGTTGAGCGTTTATAAACGCGCTTTTCTAACAGTTAAACGAGAATACTTTTCGAAGCACATGCTTATGATCTTGTACTAGTAGTGGTATACCATTCCATTTTATTTGAAAAAATAAATTTCTAAAGAAAAAAAAACAGACGCTCTATATTGTAATAAATAACCACCTACGGCGAATAGGATGAAATGGGATTATGTTAGGCAAAGACTTACTAGAAATAGACCCTTGTTAGGCGTTCTGTTTTAATGTACGTTTTATTGTAGAGATTATGTTTGCAGCAGCTGTGTTGTTATTGATAATAATGTGGTTGCCTATGACAAAAGAAAAACAGAAATATATTTATAAGGACTTATGTAAGGCCTGTATCAAAACTGGGTTGTTCATTCTGTAGTTGGCACGTGTCACAAGGCTAGCATCGGGAAATGGACGCGTTCAAAATTTAGAAGGCACAAGGGATGTCTGGGACAAATGGAAAAGTAGAAATGGGTAGACAACATAAGGGGGTGTTCGGGCTTGACATGGGAGAGGATGTCTGAAGATAAGAGTGGAATGGAGGAACCTGGGACAGAAGAACGTTACTAATCCATCGATGTTATTTCGTATTAGCTTAGTTTGCATTAAACTTAAACTGTAAAACTGATACGTGTCTTAGCCAGAGTTTCTTCCAGGCATCTCTTAAAGAGATGAAAGTCAACCCCCCCCCCCCCCCCCCCCCCCCCCCCCGGAGAAAAAAGTCTGGAAGAAACACTGGTCTTAGCCCATTCCGTGACTAATCTGGGTTGACTTCTTCCACAATAACACAGAAGTGCATATTACAAGATGTGTGTTAATGAGGCGCTACCGTTGTCTAAAGGACACACAATTACTTTATTTTCGAACTTTCCAGGCAACTCGTTTCTCTGCCATCCCCCTGTGTAAACCCATCTTTCTTGTGTCGTTGTTCAAGCTGATTCTCCAGTATGTCCTTGTCCTGCAACTCCCGGTTATAATCCAAGTGAGGACCTGTTTCAATCTTCTCGTCACGGAGTGATCTGAGTGTATGACCAAGACAAAATTTCTTGCCAGGATTTCATCCTCAGCATGTCGCATTTCTAAATCTTCGTTGGTAACACATTTCAACCGGTGAATGCTAGGTATTCTTCTAAGGTATCTATTGAAAAATATATGTAATTTCTTTTTATTTGTTGTATCGGTTCTCCCATTCCTCTGTCCTGTTGATTCTAAGGAATGGATTGAAAAATATGTGCAGTTTCTTTTTATTTGTTGTATCTGTTCTCCTACTCCACTGTTCTGTAAAGAACGTTTGATTCTTTAGGCCACTCGGATCTCACTGGGGATCCTACAAGCTACTCTTGTTTTGTCGGTTCCTATTTTTATATGTAAAATTTATAGCCTGGGATGAAATAGAAGAAAATAAGGAGCAAAAAGGAATAAGTCAAGAAAATCAAGTCATTTTATATGCATCTCTGTCCAGCTACATCATATTTTTTTTTGCAGTCTGTGCATTCAATTTGCAGTCGAGTAGGCCTATGCTCATCGATCTCCAAGGCGACAGCTGTTCATTATTACAGAATAAAAACGTATGAGTGATCTTTATTCGAGTAATTCCTGTTGTATCTTCACACACATTTGGATTACTGTCTAGGTTGTCTACTTATAGACTATATTTAGTATATTCACAACTAATATGGACACAAATTGTTCAGTCGCTGTTGATCCCCATCAGTTAACCAGTTTAATATTTCCGAAACAGTAAATCAATGCATTGCCTTCTAGAAACGAACGAGCGGTGTTTCTTACAGACTTTTTTCTCCGGTGTGTATGTGGGGGGGGGGGGGGGGTAAATTTTCCGTGGTGGGGGGGGGGGGGCACTGTTAAAAGTATGGAATTGTCTGTAAAAATTCCATTTCGTTCTTTGGGGGGGAGGGGGGTAGACTTTCGAAGAGATGCCGAGAAGAAACTCTGCGTACAAGCTCGTTAGAAGATGGCACCCTGGGCATGAGATGCTTGTTGCCATATCCTGTTCCAACACGGTTATGTTTTAACGTTACATTTCCAACTTCAAACGTGTCGTCACAACTTCTGAACCCCTCACACCCGTCCTGGTCATAATTGTTTCAAAAGTCCGCACCCCCCTCCCACACACACACACACACTTCCTTCACGTGTAAGAAGTCTTCTATGCACGACACCTGTACTTGAAATAGTCCTTTTGCCCATATTTGTATGCTATTATTTTAAGCGATTTTTCTTCTAATCTTACCTGTGTTGGCAGGTGGCGCTGAGATCAATAATTCAGGCAAGTAAAACTATTGTAGTCTTACAAACGTTTTATTTACCGTTAGATATTGTTACATGATAAAACAATAGCTAAGCACAAAATAGGCCTAATTGTTAGAGGGCTGATTGTGTAATGTGAAGGTCTGTGTTTTGAGTTTATCTGTTTATTGTGTCGAGGCTGTCTTTGTTATTTATGAACTTACTTGCTCAAATGTAAGTGTACGGCTCTGGTCACGTCTTTCTCTGGTGTAGAATTAAAACTCTCGTTTAGAGTTTGGAATAGGGGTGGAGACGGACACCCTGTGATGAGTTGAAGCAAGATATGGACGGTATATCTTTTAAACTTAATAATGGCTGCGGTGATATAAGCGAAGTGGGCTAGAATTCAATGTCTCGTTCGCATTCAGAATTAAGTAAGGGAAGTAATTATTGTAGACTTGAGGCAATTCAATTTTCTTTAGTTGCGTCCCCTTTGTTGGTTTGTAAGTTTTTTTTGCAAGTAATAATTTTTTAAGAGATTAAAATTAAAATGTTGCCAAATTTCCCTAGTAAATTATCCCTAATTAAATTATCATTGGTATCTAAGTTTTTTTTATTCATGTTGACCGATTAGAAAATTCCGATAGAGTGTTAAAAATAAAATCTGTATTTTAATGAATGAGAAAATGTTCGTGGTGGTGGATCTGAAGTTTGGTGACACTGGGTAATAGGACGGATAA